TCTCTCTCCCTCCCTCTCTCCCTCCCTCCCTCCCCCCTTTCCTGGCTGCTGGCTGCCATGGAGTGAGCGTGAGCACTTTTCCTCTGCCATGCCCTTCCATCTTGTGGTTTCTGCCTTGGAGCCAACCAACCATGCACTGAATATTCTAACAAAAAAAAAACAAAACATGTGCCAAAATGAGCCTCTTCTCCCTTAAGTTGTGGGCATTAGGGATTTTGTGCCAGTGATGGAAAATCTAGCTAATCCATATACCTTCACCACCATATACCATAAAGCAAAATCTAAGGATTTCACTGAACGAAAGATGCCAGGGACAAGTTTAGAAGTGGCAGGAATTGAGAAAGTTTTTGACAATGCCCAAAACTGACAAGGGATCAGCCCCAAACCTACAATACATAAAGAACTGGAAATTTCTGCAAATCAACCACAAGAAGGTAGGACCTTTAAAGTGAAAAGCAGGCTGAGAATATTTTCTGCAATTTACAGAAGGAACAACCCAAAATTTAACAAACACCAAAGAGTTGCCCAAACTCACCATTCATGGGAATTGTAAGTTAGCATTACAATGAAATACTTCACACACAGTAGCGTGGCAAAATGATACAGATATGGAGCTCTGCCCTTGTGGGAAATTGTAGACTTCAGCTATCTAGTTGTAAGAATAGATCACAAAATGTTTGTTAACTAAGAAAATTAAGTCATTTGTGGGAAATTCCACAAGTCTGTTTGTTAAAAGAATGCCAGAAAACTTTAAGAGACCTTGTAAAAGTCTCAGGGGAGAAAAACAGGTTTTCCTAGTTTTCTTATTTACCATTTTCTGGGATCAGAGGACCGCAACTCAATGACTCTATGGGTGGTAAGAGAGATACAACTTACTATGCACATCTGTGATGTTTGTGGTGGGTCGGTGGGCTTGATTTTGGCTAAAGTCATCCTGCTGTCTTGGTACTATCTGATAAGAAGAGGGCTTCAGTGTGCTCTTTGATGTACGGGATTGGTGAACAGAAACAGATGACTGGTGAATTCATCTGTAGCTTTTATGAGTCACTTAAAGTCACTGGTTATCATCAGAGGTTAAAATCAGAAAGACGATAGCCAGAATAACTAAGCTGCTTTCCTACATGTATAACAGCCTTGCTTCTTCCCTTTGTGATGGTCGAATAGTGCCAGAGGAATTAAACTGCTGTTCATCCCCCAGGCTGTCTCCTTTTCTTTCTTTAAAAGTCGGTGCTTTCCAGGGTTCCAGGTCTCCCTCTAGAGAGACCACTAACAGCCCTCATGCCTGGCTGGTGTGAGTATGCATTTATATGGTCATCTTGAAGAGTATCCTGGCAGGAAATGATCAAATTATGGGTGTGTACATTCTAGATCCAGGGATTCTCTCCCTTGTAATTTCCCAAAAGGATTCATGCGCAGGTCCATAGTGGGACATGTTTGTGGTGGTTCATCGTGGCGTTGTTTGGGGAGTTGGGAGAAATCTGGGTTACAGGAGGGGTGTAGTGTTCTTTAAATTCCACTATGGAATTTAGGGCAGTGGCCAGAATCAATGCACCATACGTACATACAGCAATGCTAAGAAATTTTCAAGACAGAGCTCTGAGTGATGAGCGTTAGAAAGTATGACATCCAATACCTTCTATGTAGCACCTTAAGGAATGCACACAAAATCCAAATAAACATTTTGTAGGAATAAACACAAGTAGGGCCAGGGATTTAGCTCAGTGGTTCAGCCGCCTGCCTCGGACAAGGTCCCGAGTTCAATCCCCACTACTAATAAAATAAAAATAAGAGAATATTCATCAAGGCTATTAGAAAGGTTGCTGTGATTGTGGTGGAGGAATGAGCATGGGAAAAGGAAATAAAGAGAATACAGTGGGCCCTCAAGTTATGACCGACCTGACATATGAACACCTTGGGTTAATTGGGTTAATGGAAGATTCGTCTGTATGCCTCTTGTTATCTGTAGCGTGTATCCAGGTAAACATCCAGATCTCACCTGTATTGACTTAGTTACAACCAGCCCTCGGGAACTGACTGAGTTCGTAAGTCAAGGGTCCACTGTAAATGGGTAAACAGAGAGCACTTAGCACCAACCCTTACTGAAAACATTTCTTTTGGTTTCAGTCGTGAAACTATTTGGGTGGATTGGTCCATCAAGGGATCCTGGCTCTGAAGAAACAGGGGTGAGAATGGGTGGTGGATGGGATGAGGGCAGGGATTGGAGATGAGGGGTCGGTGGTGCAGGGCTAGCGGTGATCTTCTACCCAGAAGACACGGTGAGGTGGGAGCTGGAGAGCGGGAGTACTGCCTGCTACCGCCTTTCTGCTCGTCCTAAGCAAAGTGCATAATCTTTAGACTGGAAAAACCCAAGGCCAACTACAGACCCCACGGGGCCACTTTTTCTTCATTAAAAGTAAAGACCTATCATCTAAGAAGCCTGGAGTACAAGAGACAGTGGGAGAGCTCAGCCCCACTTCACCAGGGACTTTGGGGCTCCACAATTAATTGGCTGCACCTGGGCTAATTTCTCCAAGTGCAATTTGTCTCCACAAGAGACCAACCTTTAAAACCTTAGGAAGCATCAAATATAGCAGGAAAAACAGTGAAGTTGAAATTTTAAAAAAATCATTGAAACTTTAAAACCATTTGTGGGAGGATAGTAAATCATACAATGCTGGCATAATGCTCTATTTGTTTCTTCTGATTCTCTATCAGGGCTTCATGTGTCTATACTTTTTAAAATATTTTAAATCTTTTGCTTTAAAAATCTTCCTAAATCCTAGCTTTAGGTTTTTGGAAAGCTCTAATGTATTTCATCCTTGGAAAGCTCTAATATATTTTTTCCTAAAGCTATAATTTTGTTTCTGATTTTGCTATTGAAAACAGCCTCAAATTTAGGGTTACAAGCAAATGAAACAAACTAGCATAATAAAAATTATTGGAGCATGGCTGCAATTAGAAGGTCAATTTAGGAACCTAACAGACCTATAGGATATCATCTTATATAGAGATCTAAAAAGGCTAATATGTATATCACTCTATTTCAATAAATATAAAGGTAATTGGAATAGACAAATCTTGAATTCAGCCAATGATAAATCGTTTAAGTGCTAGGTTCAAGGGAAGAGTTAGTGTTTACACTAGATTTTGGAAAAATGGATAGACTTTAAATGGTAAAGAGCTCACTTAAGGCAGAGTGACCAATTTGAGTGGCCATTCAGAAATGATCAAAGTGCAGGTATGTTTGGGAAATGGTCAATGAGCCTATCTGTTCAGATACAAGATTGGCCATAACAAGAAATGGTAATATAATATATATAAAATATTCTCTCTCTCTCTCTCT